GGAGACTTCCATACATCCCGGAGAGTTGAAATGTCTGTATATACTTTTGATAATTATGAAATATATTAAAATAAAAGTATTTGGGCCTGGAGTTCATCTTCAACATGCAAAGAATATCCATGTGGGTTACCCATGTTCATCATTTTAACCATGCACTCACATCTCTTTTTGGAAGCGTCAAGCACTCAAGTATAGAACAATAGAGTAACAACATCCTATCACTGGCTGCAGCATGCTTACTGTGCTCCCAGTAAACTTCTTTTCATTAAACCTAAGGCCTCGTTCACACCATATGCAGTGTGTTCCGATCTGATTCTGGCCAGAACGCACTGCATCGCATTGCGGTCAGATCTCTTTTTTGCCGGGCAGGGGGACGTGGCAACGGTGCTATTCACCTCTTGCCTGGCAAAAAAGAGAGCCGGTCGCAATGCGATCGCCCGCATGGAAGCGCAAAGGCACATTGTGCCTGCAGTCTGGTCCGATGCGGTGCAGTCAAAATGCTGCAAGCACTATTTTGATTGCACGGCACCGGACTGGACTGCAGGCACAATGTGCCTTGCGATCCCGTGCGGGCAATTGCATTGCGGCCGGAGGGCATGGCTACGGTGCCATTCACTTCAATGGCCCGCCACGCCCCCTCCTGCCCCACTAAAAAGTGACCCGGTCCGATTCTGGCCAGAACGCACTGCATCTGGTGTGAACGGGCCCTTAGTGTTGGAAAGTTTTAGGCTCTGCATCTTGCTCTGCTTTTACTTCAGGACAATAACATGACAATGTGTCACAGGATCTTCAGAACAAACAGACAGAACTGAAACAATGCCTTACACATTTTTTAATTCATTGCAAAAGAGGAAGAGGAAGAATTTAATTGCTTGCTAATAGATGTTTTTGCAATTTATTTATTTTAAATGAATGTTTGAATGAAAAAAGAAAATGATATAGGTCATTACCTTCAGCATAATTTAAAAAGACATAGCTGTACTTTGCAATTAGGCTGTTTATTTCAGCTAAATTAATTTGTGGAATAAAATATTTATACAGGTCATTCTGTTTAGCAGCGTTTAAAAAGACACTATCCCTACAATGTAGCTGACCTAAAAAGAACTCTGGTCTGAATGAAAGCAGGATATTGAAATCAATGTAGTACAAAGTACAACCATTCAATGATTTTTCCTAAATCTCTTGCAAATGTGTTCTATACTGCTACATTCTGCACATCGGACTGTATGTTATATACTTCATACCTCACTATTCTGTACCCTGTGCTATATGTTATATACTCCATACCCCTTCCTTATTCTAAAGTGTACTTCATGTTATATACTCCAAATCCCTCCTCTCTGTAAAGTGTGCTTTAATGGTATATACTCTATACCAGGGCTCAAAATTTCAGGTCCTGAGCTACTAGCCAGGCCTTAGAAGTTACATATATACTCAATACCCCTCCTCTCTGTAAGGTGTCCTTTATGCTAAATACTTCATACCCCTCCACTCTGTAAAGTGTGATTTATGTTATATACTGCGTACCCCTCCACTCTGTAAACTGTGTTTTATGTTATATACTCCATACCCCTCCACTCTGTAAAGTGTGATTTATGTTATATACTTCATACCCCTCCACTCTGTAAAGTGTGATGTATGCTATATACTTTATACCCCTCCACTCTGTAAAGTGTGCTTTATGTTATATACTCCATACCCCTCCTCTCTGTAAGGTGTGCTTTATGTTATATACTCCATACCCCTCCACTCTGTAAAGTGTGATTTATGTTATATACTCCATACCCCTCCACTCTGTAAAGTGTGATTTATGTTATGTACTCCATACCCCTCCTCTCTGTAAGGTGTGCTTTATGTTATATACTCCATACCCCTCCACTCTGTGTTGTGATGGAGGCATTCTCAAATCCCATCGCTGTCATCAGAATGTGACGTATCGCTCTCTTAGCCTCACCCTACACACAGATTTTCCAGCCTTCAGGACAACAATCTAAGCACCAGCAGACTAAGAGTGATTGTCAGAGGGACAGTTAACTGCGTGGTTAACCCTTCACACACACAAACAGTAGCTGCCACCACTTGATCTAATGGAAATACACACCGATCTGATGTAGCAATTCTGCTCTTTAAAAAATGTCTGTGACACTTTGTGCCACACCAGACAAGAATGTAAAAGATATTTATATATGGTAGCTTTCTTCAAAGAAGCAAGAATTCTTTAATTTCTGATTAGAGCATATAGAGATTTAGCTTAAGGCCTCATTCACACAGCTAAGTATCCGCCCGTACAGATCCGTGCGGCGTACAGGGCCCTATCGGGCCAATCCTGGGAGGGACATGTGCTGCAGACAGGATACATCCTGTTTGCGTACGAGTACAGACAACTGTACCTGCACGGATGTGAAGCTTGGGTCAGCGTACGGCCGCGTCCTCCCATAGAGAAGAACAGGCTGCTGCGTACAATCACATGCAGCACCTGTCCTTCCCGTGAACGGCCCAATACGGACGTGCACGCCGCACGGATCTTTACGGGTCAACACTTTGCTGTGTGAATGAGGCCTAAAGGTTTAAAAATATTGTATTAATAAAAAGAAAGTAAAATGGTGCATGAAAATATATACAAAAAAAATATATTACAAAACAAACAATAACCAACAGTAAAACAAATGGAATTAAACGTGAAACATACTTAGCAAAGTTCCCATGGTCTTTGGTTTTGGCTGTGAGTGCAAACTGTTGTACAGCAAGTGGAATCTGCTGTTTTAAGGTCATTGGCTCTCAGGAATGACCCTTGGCAATCCTTAATAGGTGCTAAACTGAGGGCTACAGCTGCCAATTGCAGCAGCTTTTTGTTGACTTTTTAGAGGGTGTTTACAGAAATGTTATAACACAATGTCAACACAATTCCTCAAAGCCATATTTTCTCAATGCATCAATATTTTCAGTTGACCTTGTTAGACAGTCCGACAACCAACATATTATTGCACAGAATTAAATCACGATTTGTTAGAGAACAGACATATAACCTGGATACATCGCCTAGGAGTAATGTTATATTACCAATCTGCCTATAGAGCAGCGGTTGCCAATTTTGGTGGTCCCCGGGCCCTTCTGATACCGTGCAGCTGGGCTGTCATTGAAGGGGCACGGAGGCTTCAGGGCTGCCTCTCACTGACTCAAGCAGCGGCTGTCACAAGGAATGCGTGGCTCTCAGTACAGTGCAGGCTCTGCAGGAGGCGGGGCATCTCATCAGTACCCGGACTACATATAGATACACAGACACATATGAGAATATATTTATATATGAGGAAACAAAAAATATGAGAATATATCTATATTTAAAAAAAATTCATATTAGTAGTCCGCGGGATTTAAAATTATTAATTTAGTGGTCCATAAGGTCCAAAAAGTTGGCGACCGCTGCTTTAGAGTGTTAGGCTAGGCCTGTTTGGTACCTCCTTCGTTGTTATTTACGTATACATTTGGGTACACACTTGTTAGGAATGCAATTTTATCATATAAGGATTTATGGAATATGAATACGTTTTGGTTCTGGCAGTTAAAAAACACCAGATCAACATGTGTGTTGCTTTAAACCATTTCTGGAATGTTTTTAATGACTATTTCACAATAGGGTTTCATTAAAAGTCTTTGGCTTTCCACACTTATTGCTGGTTTATGGCAGCTAATTACTCATTTACGACTGGGCTCAATAACAGGCTGAGCAGATCCTGGCTAAACAGGACTTACGATACTGCTAGTAATTGTACCACCTTCTGCAAAGGGAAGTTACTGGAATTTATGATGACCTGCTTTGTGTCTGAAGCTGACTTGTGAATGAAATTAGGGTGGCACTGTTGTCTGTACCTTTTTCCCAGTTTGAGGATCATCTGATCTCATTATCCTAACATGTACACTGTGCTTTATGTTATATACTCCCAATCCGAATACTATGTATACTGTGCTCTATGTTATATTGTACATATCCCAAACTCTGTACATTTTGCTCTATGTTATATACTCTATACTGTTCCCAGGGCCGGATTCCCCACAAGACCACAGAGGCCATGGCCTCAGAGCGACAGGGAGTAGAGGGGCAGGAGTGGCGTTACTGGGGGGTGCGGACAACACCTGGGTGACACTAGTGCACCCCCAAGTCCCAACGTCAGGCAGATGGGGGGGCAACCTCGGGGTCTTGTTCCTGCTCGTATGCAGTGCAGGGCCGATGTTATAACAGAATCCCAGACTGGAACACCAGCACCAGATCAGGAGACGTCCCAACGCTATCCTCCTGAGGCCCTTGTGGTTCAGAGGTGGTTAGCTGTACATGGCTGCGGCAGGTGTGGGGGGAAGCTCCTTGAACGTATCAGAATGTACTATCTGCAGGTCGGTGTTCTCCAGAGAACTGGTGAGCATCACAATAGGTAAGGTGAGTATAGGTAAGGTCAGATTTGCATTGCTTTATATATTAAGCTTTATTAATATTAATATCATGGGTAAATGATGAGAATGGTGGTGAGTATGTGGGTGGGGGGGGATGGCGGTGCATTGAGAAACCTGGCCTTGGGGCAGTAGAGAGAGTAAATACGGCCCTGACTGTCCCACGCTGTATATTGTGCTGTATGTTATTTACTCTACACTGCTCCACTCTGTAGTCTTTGCTCTATTATATTTACTCCATGTCTTTCTGCTCTGCACACTGTGCTCTGATAGCTCCATCTAGCCTTCCCCAGTTTTCCCATTCATATTATTTTTTGATGTTGCAGCTAATATATTTTTTCACTCTATAAACTATAGAACTGTAAAAAGCAAAACTGTACTGTATAAAGTATATACTACAATTAAGCAAAAAATGCAAAAGCATCTCCAGCAAAGGAATACTGATGTGATTCCCAGCAACCAGTGAGAGGTGCGCAGGGTAGAACATCTTGTCACCTTTGATTAAATTATGAGGATGTTTACAGACAGCTAAAGCCTTTGCCTGGTCATCAGCTACTTACGTAATCAACTTCATTGAGTCCGAGTTTTTGAACAGAACTTTTCACCTCGATGGAAAACTTCTCAAACTCTGGTTTTACTGTCCTGAGTAGAGTGACTGTTTGCAGGGATGAGTATGCTTGCTTTGCTTCAACGTCGTGCTTGTCTCCTCGCCTCCACGAGCCATCTCCTAGGGGAGATATAAAAATATTTACAAGCTCGGCCAGTCACCATAAAAAAAGAAATTTCTCAGTTTGGAACTGCCCCTACATAAGGCATTCAGTAAATACATATGTTTGTAAATAACAGTATAGACTATTGTTTGTTATGTCTTAAAATGTTCCAGTCGAGTAGAAAAAAAAATGAGGGTATGGCTTGCAGATGTTTAAACAAGCAAGTTAAGTTCCCCTATACCTGAGCCCACTTGATACTATCCAGGATACAGTGCAAACATCTTAGGGCCTGTTCACATATGCATATGCATTTTTCTTCAGTATATCTCATCTGTTTAAATATACTCTATGGATTTGTAAAGAGTCTGTTCATATCATTATGAATACAGAACTACATCAACTGGTATTATTTACATATGCCTGGCGTTTAATCTTAGGGATAAATTTACGGTGTACAACTCCAGACATCCCACCAACAGGTCTACAGTGTGGAGAGCAGTCCTTGGTGGATGGGTGTAGGAGGTGTCAGATACAGTCCATCATTTTAAACTCTGAGGAATATATGCAACATTGGAAAAGGAGAAAAAAACAATATGCAAATGCAATAAGTGAATATGTTCTCTTTCTGCTTACATGGGTTTCCTCCTTGTACTCCAGTTTCCTCCCACACTCCAAAGACATGCTGGAAGGTTAATTGGCTCCTGTCTAAATTGGCCCTGTATGTGTGTGTGAAAGATTAGAGACCTTAGATTGAAAGCTCAATGGGGGCAGAGACTAATGTAATTGTGCAGTAAGTAATGCTCTGTGTAAATTGTCGGCATTATATTATATATAATAAATAAATATGGCTGCCTACATACAATAAGTATGTTATCAAGTTTAAAGTGTAAAAGTTATAAACGGAAACAGTTTTTTTTTAAACATTCACACTTTAAAAAGACTACAGATACTACAGTTATGATTAGAGCTGCACCGATACCAAGTACCGTACTCTGTACAAGTACAGATACTTTTCCAGCTCCAAGACTAGACTAGAGAAAAATTCAAAAGTTAGGAGGCAGCTGTCATTTTTAAGGAGCACACGGAGCTCCTGGGATTTGTACATCTCTGTTTTAATGTATGATTTTGTTTTTATAAATATATATAAGTGATGCACCGATAACCATTTTTGCAAGTACAAGTACTGATACTTGCCCAAGTACTCATGGATACAAGTTCTGATACATTTTTGTTTATTATCATTTCACATTTTTTCTAAAACAATACAGACTAATGATTTCAGGACAGTGGTGGAGCGCCAGAGCCGGGTCCCAGCTGCAACCGCTGCCACCCTGGTAGTTCTCATGAAAATGCAAAGTATCTGCACTGGTATCTGAACTGGTATTGGTGCATTCCTAGTTATGATACATTTTGGATTCCGGGCTGACTACTATTAACAGAATACAACAAATAGATAATTGTGAATATGAATGCTTCCTCCTTTCAGTGAACATAGGAACAACATGGCAGACAGGAAACACAACTTTCTACTAATCCGAGAACACTTTCTGTTCATCCCAACTATTCAGAAAGCTAGAAGTCTCATTTACAGGTGAAGCAATAAATATGGCTGGTTATAGACAGAAGGGCATAAATAACTATAGCTGGTAGAGGTTGTGTGAATGCTATGCAGCCGCGCTCGTCTGGCTGCATTATTACTCCAGTGAGTAATACATTGGATATGATGAACAGGTGGTTCAAAAACCCTTATACTAAGCAATCTAAGCAATCAGATTGCTATTGTTCTCTTCTCTATATAAGTTTATGGGAATGCAAACGCAGCTTGGAGTAAGACAATTGCAGGTCAGAAGGAGGTCAACTGAAGGTCAAATGCACCTTCAATGAATTTCGAATATTCTCAGATGCGTCTCAAACCTATGTTACAGCTCGCTTCATTTACCCATAGAAGCTGATCAGCACTTGCCCTTGTTGCTTTAGAATGTCACAAGTCCCAAAACTGAGATGGCCTTTAAAGTCTAGGGACGAAAATAACAAAGAAATATCACCTTAACCTTGGAGCTGGCTAGCTGCTACGCTGGAATGTCCCTTGACATCCTTATATCCTATGCACTCTATTGGATGTAATAACTCATAGGACCTTAGGCGGCTGGAGCAGAGTGGGCAGCGAGGCATCAGGGACCGTTCTAACAGCTAGCTGGCTCTGAGGTTCAGGTTAGTATTTTGTTTGCTGTTTTCGTCTCTAGTCAACAATAAGCACTTAACCATGTAGTGTGGGGGTAGCCCCACTGCAAGGGTTAAAAACAATTGCCCAGAGTTCTTCTGTAATCACTTTTGGATCAAGAATGTACTAGATATGCCCTGAAGGGATTCATTCAAGCTGCCAGGACATACGTAGTACTTCCGCATATTTTCATGTCCATCCTAATCAGGACCTGTTGTCAGTTTGATAGCTTCTGTTTCAATGTTGCTGTGAGCGGTTGTTACAGTGACATTTTTTAAAATACAATAAGGGTTGATTTACTAAAGGCAAATAGGCCGCTCAATTTGCAAGGGAATTTTACACTGTGGAGGGAAATTTCCCATTAGCTTAGTGAGTGGTAGTGAAAATTCTCTTTGCAAAGATATATCATCGACACGTGATTGGAGGATAGAAGTTAGCAGAGTTTTAACTCAATCAGTAAACTAAAAGGAAATTGCCTTTTTAAATTTACAGGCCTATCTGCCTTTAGTAAATCAACACTAATGTAACTATTTACTTATATTTTAATTGCAAAGATAGAAGAAGAAAGCAAGTTTTACTAGTTTTAAAGGAGAACTATGGGGTTAAGGCTTTTCCCCATAGTTCTCCTTAGGGTAACCGCAGTTTCTCGCGATATACTGAGACGCCGCAGCTGAAGCGGATCCCGTCAATTGTGCCGGGATCCGCCCAGCTGCGTGACTGACAGCTGGCTCTGCCTATCTAGAGGCAGAGCCAGCTGTACCCACCCCCTCCCCCGTCCGTTCCGCCAGTCAGCGCTGGCGGATCGGAGCGGGGAGGGGGGAATCCAGCCCCTCCCCTGTCATGGCAGAGAGCCGTGACAGGATCGAGAGGTGAGCGAACGCCGGTATGTGTTCGCTCACCTCCCGATCTACTGAGCCGACCTGTGACAGTCTCATTGTCACAGGTCGGCTAGAACTATGAGGTGAGTGACAAGCACTCACCTCATAGTTCTCCTTTAAAGTTACATTAATGTATGCAACTGGGTTAAAGAGTATTCTTTCTTTATATGTGTATGGTGTTCCATATTAGTTTTCAATTTTTACTGTAATGTATGTTCAATTGCACTTGTAAAGCCCATGGCATAGTCTCCAATAAGAATCTAGAATCCTTTAGAAATAGTAAAACTGATGTTCTCTCTCCACTGTGTTGTTTGACCTCTCATATAATTTCATTTCTTGTAATGTATGCAGTTATAGAGTTAACAGGAAAGAAAAAATACTTTAAAATGCCAAGATAAGCTGATTCCAAATAATACACAAGGAAACGAAAAGCGATGATAAGTGTGGAGTTATTGTAAACTAATTTTTTTGTCAGAATGCAGTCTGGTTTAGTATTTGAGTGCACTGGTAAGAGGGAAATTCCTTGTACTAGGTAAAGACAAACATAAATGTTTCCTGCTTATTGTTTAGATGACTGAAAAAATACCAATCCAAGTGACAAAGCATACTTAAGAGACACCTTGACTCATGGAAACCACCTTACAGGACAGTGGTGTGAAAAAGGCCTTAGGGTGAAACATTAAAATCAAGTAAAGGTACAAAATGGTAAATGCTCGTAGGAGGTGCACAGTGAGAGAGGTCATTAGCTGTAGACTAAACCTAATATGAAAAATCAGATTCAAATAAATAACAGTTCTCAGTTTGCCAACACTTTCAAATACACTGCCTGGCCAAAAAAATTCACGCACTCTAATATTTTGTAGAACCACCTTTAGCTTTGATTACGGCACACATTTGCTGTGGCATCCTTTCAATAAACTTATGCAATGTAAAATCATCTATTTCCATCCTGAGTTGCATTTTCCACCAATTGATCCAGAGAGGGGCAAAAAATCCTTATAAAGTATGGTCCAATTTAATCTAACAGGGAAAAAAATGATTCCTGATCCCCCAAGGTAAACAGGTAATGCTTGAATCAACATTTTACAAGGTGGCGATAAAATCGCCTCTACTTAAGGGAGAATAAATAAATTTCAGTTAATCTGACACACAGTCACTGCTCCCTGCAGGGAGAAGATCGGGAACTGAGTGATCAGCGATATGTGATCGATTGGTTCTCGATCAACAGAGCCGACCTGTGACAGCTTCAGTGACACACGTCAGCTCTAACTATGGGGATGAGTGTATTTCACTCTCCCCATAATTCTCCTTTAACTGCAAAATCACGTAGATCGAATATTCTGTATCCCATTAAAGTGAAGGCAACTAGCTTGATGTAAATAGAAATTTCTAGCTGTGAGTTTTCAAGCAAACATCTCTATTGCATCATGCATCAGTTCCAGATCAAGGAAGAGTAGACTGTTTTTTTTAAAATTAATTACCGTTGTGCAATGAATCCCCAATAGATAGCTATTGCAAACATTAACAATATTTTTCACTGAATTGTAACTACTTTGCCAAGTGATGATTACATCATTGTTATGCCAACCATAAAATGTATTTAAAATCAGTAAGCTATTGAAAACAAAGCACAGTGAGGCAAGGTAATTGTGGTGCTAATGTTGTGTCTAATCTACCAATCTCTACATCTCTTTAATGCAGCAACAAATAAATGGAAAAGCAAGGTGCAATAATGTAGTTGTAGGAATGGCTGCAGAGACTCAAGTTGCTATCGCGTACATGATACATGACGTTGATCCTTTATGTACTAGGGAAAAGGAAATAACTCAAAATATGTGTTCAATGAAAATACAGTAAATGTTTTCTTTAACAAGTCTGTATTCAAATGCAATAACCTGATTTCTGAAACTAGTCCAGACGTCTCAACTCTCCCAGATGTTCCGGGAGTCTCCCGCAATAAGATAGCGGCTCCTGGACACCCGGGAGATAAACATTTTATCCCGGAAAGGTTTACTCACCAGAGTAAACCTTTCCCTGCTATCTGTTTTTTTTTTAAACATCTGGGCCACCGGCCGCCATCAGTCAGAGAAAAGAAAAAAAAAACAGCATAGGAATGAATGCACCCGCTATTGCACCTGCCCACTGCTGCTGTCAATCAGCAGAGGTGGACCTGAAGTTCTCCATCAGGTCCTCCTCTGCTGATTGACAGCAGCAGTGGGTGGGTCCAATACCCAGCTTGCTATTGGCTATTGCAAATTGAAATAGCCAATAGCAATCTAGCTATTCAACCCTATGCTGTCCGTTTTGGGTTTTTTTTATTCTGACGGCAGCAGGTGTCAGAATAAAAAAAAAACAACAGATAGCAAGGGAAGCATTAGCTTCTTTGCTATCTGCCATCATTTCAGAGAGGTGATTTCCTTTTTATTAATAAAATGCTGTATTGCAGGTTTTTTTTCCATTCTTTGTTGCATCCCAGTGCTGATGAATCTCTTGCAGCCACTTCCTGTCTACAAGTGCAACAGTAATGGCTGTATGGCATTTCTTGGGGGAGTCTCCTAATGGTGACAACAGTAGGCCATGTCTGTGTAATTTGAGCTAAAAAAGCCACTTTAGCCTCCAGTGGAAGTCCATGCGACAGGGTGGCAACACAGAAGAAGAACTGGACGATATGGATAGAGCATTGTCACCCTATAACAGGGAGTGCCTAAACAAAAGATTCAATGGTAAGATCACCAAGTATTTTTTTAATGAAAGCTGCAGATTTAAAAATATTGAAAATTGCTTTTTAAAGTGACACTAAACTCAGGAGTTAAATCTTAATGTATTCAAGTACCATAACTATTAACAAAAATGTATCCGATTTGTCTGTAGATCCTCAAATCATCTCTAAATTGGTGCTGACACCGTCCTTCCTTCTGTAGGGTGGCTACTTGTGTTCCCCATGGTCCCTGTGTGTGTTGTAAAGTAGTCACCGCTCCAAGCTCCCTCCCATGATGGACAATAACTTCAATACAAATTAGTAAACTAAACGTGAGATTGTAGTCCATCACAGGAGTGATCTTGGAGCGGTGGCTACTTTACAACACACACAGGGACCATGGGGAACAAAAGTAGCCCCCCTCCAGAGGGAAGGACAGTGTCAGCACCAATTCAGAGATGATTTGAGGATCTACATCCGAGTGATACACAAATAAGGTAAATTTTTGTTAATAGTTAGGGTACTTGAACGTATTTTAAAAATGTCACTCCTGGGTTTTGTGTCACTTAAAATTAAAGGAACATGATAAAGTATATATGTATTGTTAGCAATGTGGTTTATATCTCCTCTAACCTCACACAATCCACAAATGACCCTCTTAGCGTTCACATGGTTTGCAATAATCAGGCTATAAATGCCAATCCCTACGCAGGACACACCAGCTAGAAGAGGAATTATTATTATTATTATTATTATTAAAGAAACAAGTTAAATAAATACTATGTTAGAAATGTATCATTTTGTAGACTAAAATGATGCAAGAAATGCTGCTTTTCCTAATTAGCCACAAGACCCTGAACTGCCGATTTACTAGATTAATAATCAAGCTCAAACGCCATCAGCTAAGTTTACTTTCATCATGTGCAGGGCAGCATCTGGCTCTTTCAAGGACTAGACTTTATTTACAAAGAAATGCCAGAATGAGATTAGCTCCGCCGGTATACACCTTCAGTCTTGGAGACTCACATACTGCAAAGCTTTCCAGGACTTTGCCTAAGAAGCAGATATGAATCTCTCTCAATGACTCATCTGCTTATTAACTGTCCTTTCCACAAACAAGGATAGTTCACCAAACATTGGCCCAGAGTGGAGGATTTAAAGTAAAACGTGTTACTGCTGTGGGCAATTCAAATTGAATATACAATGAAAAAATACACAAGTAAAGGTCACCTTCTGTAACAGCTGCATGTCAAAACAATCTAAAGTTACGTGTGAAAGGTGAGCGCTGGCATCATACCCCTCCTAGGGCTTCCCTATTGGTCACTGAGACCCCCCATCACACTAAGGCCCTGTTAAAATGGGCGGCATAGGGGCGGTAAAAACAGATGGTCGATCCGTGTTTTTACCACAACCCCCCCCAACTGCCCACCTAAAAGCCAAAAAAAGGTCACTCAGGCTTATCCATATGTCACGTAAAATTTTTAGAGCATGTCATTTTTGGCAGGCAGTGTCAACCTATTTCACCTTTTAAAATATTTGTAATTCATATATTGCCATTCATATATTTCACTACCGCCCCGCTGCTTAGTCACACTAGGGACAACTTTATTTCCCTTTGCCTTCTAAATGTTATCTGTTCCACCTGCCTTATTCATTGGACATTTACCATGATCACACACCTGAGGCCCTCCATATGGTTTCTTTATTCTGTAAGCCCTCTGCATGTTTGCCCTTCCAGCTCCCAGGGCCTGAAAACAAGTTAGAATGACAGAACAATGCAAGGACATAGAGCCTGATTGGTTGTAGAAAATATAAATATACCCTTTAAATGTGTCCACAGACATTAAGCTGATGACAGATATTAGATGGAGACTGGATATATGTACATTTCTCAATTAATTATCTTTTTTTGGGGATTTTACATCTCCATCTGCGCAATTTCTAAAAGAGTACACCACATGCACCCTTAGAAAAAAACTGAAATCCAACCCAGCCCAGTTGACTTACCATAAGACGAACTGTTGAAGAGTTCAATGTTGAAGAAAACATAGTCCCCTTTGGTCAGTCCTTGTCGATGTGCAGCCAACATAATTGATCTGACCGTGTCGCTGCTGGCACACATTATAACCACTGAAGAGAAAGAAAGAAAACAATGGCAAAGTCAATGAAGTATGAAATTACACTGTGTGTATAAACTTAATACATATCTGTTGAAAATATTACATTGCCAAGTAGAAGAGTTGTCACAGACTGTATGGTGAATCTCACATACAAATTTAAAGTGAAGGTGATAGGTCCACCAAATTGTATAAACTGGCATTACTGGTAAATTGTCTTTAGATTAGTTATTGTGTGCCTGAGGAGGAGCCTGCATACTAAGCCAAGGCAGTACACTGTACCTTGACATTTCTCTATATTAGGATTAGGAGCTTTGTGCTACCTCCAACTGGTGCTAAGCTGTTCCCTCCTATTCCATAGTCCAATACCAGAACCACAGTAACCAGCAGAGACTATGGTATCTGATAGTTGAATAACAGGGTGTTAAGGGTTTAGTACTGGGAGATCCCAGCTTGGACAGAGGTTGAGGACCGGTAAACAATCTGAGCCAGGGGTCTCTTCAGGCACAAAAGAACTAGACAAGCACAAGTACCATCAGGCACAACAGAGTGTCTACCTCGGTCAAGGAATGTTGGGCCACAATGATGATATGAAGGCCCTTTAAAAAAAGCTAATGGGCATCTTTAGGTCAAATCGCTTGACAGCTTCCTATATACAGTATCTTGAAAACAAGAAAATAAGCCATTCAGATATAACAAATTGTGAAAGTACCAAAAACCTGGATTTTAAAATCTGATCATGTCATCCTGCTTTCTAGGTCAAAAGATCCAGCGTAGGTGGAGGAATTGATGACTAAAGTTAGTGTCATGTACATGATAGATGACATTGATCTTTTGTGGGCTAGGGAAAAGGAAAGGTTGCCTTATAGCAGCGGTTCACAACCTGTGGGTCGCGACCCCATTGGGGGTCGAATGACAATTTGCCAGGGGTCGCCGGGTGTCTCCTGCTATTAGATAGCGGCTCCCGAAAAGGTTTAATCTGCTCGATCAAGCAGAGTAAACCTTTCCCTGCGATCGTTTTTAAAAAAATTATTATAAGGGGTCCTGGCCCTAGAAATGTTGAGAACCACTGACTTATAGAATGTTTTTTTTTAGTGACAGGTTTACTTTAAGGCAGGGGAAGCAGATAAAATATACTTTGGGGGTCTTGCTTAGGAGATCAACTAATTTACATATAACAGCATGGCTTCTGTAGTGCAAAACTTGGGGGGCCACCAAAACTGAACAACTGAACAACCAGGTATACAGCCATGCTGCACTGTCTAAACAGAACTAGATCTGGAACAGTGGCAGCTGTTTGTAATGTACATTTGCCCAGTCTGAAGGCTGTAAGCTTATTGTATGCTGGCATGTCCTAATTAAGCAGCAGTGAGGCCGGGACAAGCACAACGAAGGCATTCATGCCGATAAATATCATTTTATGTAAATAGCAGACGGCTTGTTTGTCTGTTGCACATTCCATGTAAATGAGGTGTTGGGGGGGCCGAGCTCTCATCTCACTACACTACTGGTCATATTACTGTGCCGTGATTTACTGCCTCCACTTGAAATATCCTCTGCCTATAGTAAACAGGATATATCAAAATAAATGCAGAGTACAGGGATGACTTTGGAATTAATGTGAACACAAATGTGACCTTCTAGCTTTAACCCAAACACCCATTTATTGCCAGAGAGTAAGATACTGATGTGTGCTTGTGAAATTGCACGGACAATGTATAGAACAGAACCCCAGAAAGATATAAAGAATGCAAAGTACTGCAGCTCTGTATTCATTAATAGGTCATTGCAAGAGTAATAATGCAGCTAATACAGCTACAACCACCTTAAGCATGATGGTTAATACATCATTAATGTCAACTGTTTATGTTTATGATACACGTTGGTTTAGCAAACTAAACATAGTTTCTTTGAACCAAACTCCAACAAATATTTGCTAAATATACAAAAGGCATGTATATCTTAACTTGAGCCTTGCTGTGCTTTGTGCACTTCTTCTAGATCTGTGCAGTAATCCAGTGTGAAACTTTGCCTCTATGCAGAAACTTCCTGTAATAAAGACCAGTCACTGCTGCTCTCTTTCCTTGTGCAGGGTGACTGGTCTTGTATCCGCCCCCTTCCTGTAGTTTTCTGCAGGCAGTCTGTAGTGGGTGGGGCCTATTGGGTCCCCCCACAGCTCGGATCTCCGCACAGGCTATGTACAGCATAAAAGGGATGCTACTCTTACAAAAGTATTATCTGAGTATAGAAAGGCATTTGGTGCACACAAAGTAGATTTATATCCTTTGTGGCAATTGAGCAATATGTTTAAATTAAAGTTTTTGCCTGGAGTTTAGCTTTAAGGCTTAGCTCACTCCCATACAGCTGTTTGCTGCCCATGCACAGGAGTATACAGTGCTGTGAAGGGGCTGAATGTATGATGTATGCCGAGTGCTGCAGATGTCACAAACAAGATGGGGGCACCCAGCAGCTATCAAAGGACAATTTGGGCCATGGCAATGGAGAGGCTTCTGGGGCATCTGGGGATCATATCAATAAGGTATGCAAGTAACTGAACATCTTTATTGCAGCCAGCAAAAAGAAAGGAGACAGGGTCTCTTTAAGACTGTGATTTCCCACTAGAAATAATTGTAATGTAACTCCTATACAATCTAATCAATTATCTTCTTTAAATATTAAAATGTGGGAACAATTTGACAACTGACTCAGTGACTCCGTTTCCCCTTTTGCTCAAATGCGGAGTGCTGAAATTAGCTCTCCAGTCCATTAAAAAGCTAACGGCATAAACATAAGCTGAGCCATTTAACATTTTAGAAACATAATGATGCTGTCATGGTGGACAAGATGGTCAGTCTAATCCCTGAGTAATATACATTCCAGAACTACCAATCAGAAGTCTCATACAAGCAAAGCAATACTTTGGCATTTCCAAATAATTGATCTGGAAATTATCGTTAGATGAAACCAGCATGTGCCCCTGGCATCTAAAGATTAACTAAAATATGTTCGTGCATAGAAAATCCCAGTAGAGGCAGCCATGCGGAATACCTAAAACAAACAAGACTGCACTGGGCTTTATATGTGGTTTGCATGTACTGAAGATGTCATATACCTGTTAAGTGAAAACACGTGGGCTCATTATGTAATATTTTCTAACACAATGTTTCCAATATATTATGGTGCTATGGTAAAAAAAACAAAAAACAAGCCTCCTAGACAGTGTAAAAAAATACCCAATAAAATGCCGGCAGGGCTCCAAGGAAATGTATGCACATAACTTTGTTCAACAGGACGTTTGGGTAATCTACCATCCTATTTGTAAAACTGCAACAACGCTGACCACTCTTGATCTCTATAAATCGGGAACCGATCAGAATAGCATGGAGCTTACATGAGGTTTTGTTAATAAACAAACCTTGCAGGCTGCAGATGTCAGTGGATGTCTTTCTCTATGCACTTGTTGTCTACAGAGAACAACAGTTTATAAATAAGACAGTACTTTTAAGACAGATGTATAGCCAGAAAAATTAATTTGCCAGGTAGGGTCTTAGGTAGAACAGACTTTTTGGCAGCCTGCACTCGGGAGGGACTGGGGATTTTATTAAAAGACAACAATGGTAACGTTTTCATCTGGATTGGGGCTGAAGGTAAGTATAGGTCTAGGCTGCCTGCACTCAGGAGGGATTTGGGCTGAAGGTAGGTAAAGGCCCAGGCTGATTGCACTCAGGAGGGATTGGTGGTTTTATTAAAGTAAAACTAAGGTAAAGTTGTCATTTGGATCGGGGGTTGAAGAAAAGTATAGGTCCAGGTTGCCTGCACTCAGGAGGGATTGGGGGTTTTATTAAAGGACAACAAAGGTTAAGTTGTCAGTTGGATTAGGGGCTGAAGGCAAGTATAGGCCCAGGCTGCCTGCACTCAAGAAGCACCGGGGGTTTTATTAAAGGACAACAAAGGTAAAGTTGTCATTTGGATCAGGGCTGAAGGCAAGTATAGCCCACTAAGCCCAGGCCGCCTGCAGTCAGGATTGATTGGGGGTTTTATTAAAGGAGTGCAAGGGTAAAGTTGTAATTTAAGGGACACCCAAGTACAGTTCACTCTAGGGAGGTTTTTACTTTCTTGCATTTTTCTTTATGATAAAGCCATATCCACCTGAGTGTAGATGGGGTGAAAAATATACTGTTCAAGTACATCCTTTATTTTCTTTATACTTTGCTTGTCCCTGCCCGACAGATCTAAACTAATCCAGCGGCCTAAACAGCAGAGAGGCCTTATTTGTTTTGTTTGACATCAACCCTGAAGTGAGATTGTGCATCAGGGGAAGAAACCAATGGAACAGACGTTTAGTGCTGAACATGCATAATGTTCATTATTTGGATACAGGTGTATTTTAAAATTATACCAACAGACCATATTCTATTCCGTAAACCCATTAACAGAGCATGTCGGCACCTTAACTCTAGTTAACTGGGAACTGCGGATAAAACAGGTTAAACAGTCAAAACTCAAACCAACACACTAAAGCTCTATCTATTAAGGTCATTTTAATAATGAGCACTACAAAGCGTGATACAGTTGCCTGGCATTCTTTATACTCGGAGTTATCATGAAATCTAAACCTTCACAGACCAGTTAATTGTTTGGCCATGGAGAACCTACTTTTGTAGAATGCCGGGCTCCAGAATTCTTCCAACAACAACCTCTGCTATTGTTCTGATTGCCATGAAACACAGCTTGTTCCCTTGCTTGAAACTGAGCCATTATCAAATGGGCCTTAGTCAATAAAGAGTTTTGCTGTAGGCAATCTGGGAACTTTCTCATGAATGGGGTCAACAGAAGCTTAATTAATGGGGCTTTACATACATTTAATCAATAGAGAATACTTTGCCTCATTGTCTCCTATGTCATGTAATAGCCATGAACTTGTGTTTATACTTAACCCTACAGCTTTTTCAGTCACTGTGTAGACACAAGGTCATTCCTATGGTTTTTCACTGGTTGTATTGTATAGGACTA